TAAGATTCTCTGTCCCTCTGCCCCTCCCCCTCCAAAAAAAAAAAAGAAGAAGAAGTTTGGGAGAAGTCAGTTTAGGCTGGTACTATGGCTCAACAATGTCATCAAGATCAAGACCCGCCCTTCCAAGTTCCAGCTTTGCCATTTTTAATACCTGGTCCTATCTTTGTTGTTGTAGGTGGCTGCTTCCCTTTCAGGCACTGCACCTAAGTTCCCAGCAGCAAGAAGCAGAAAGGGGCCAAAGCTGTTGGGGTATACTAGCCAAGTGTGTCCTCCTCACTAAGCTTTCAAGAAAGCCCCCATCCAACAACATCCACTTATATCATTATAAGACCTGAGTCCCATGGCCACTCTAGGCTGTTAAGGGAGTCTTGGAAAGTGAGATGTCCATATTACCATCTCAAACAAAATTGGGTTCTTTTAGTTAGAAAGGAGACAATGAATATTGGATAGGCAATCAGTAATGTCTATCCCAATATTAAATTATATATTTTATGTAAAGTGCTAAGCACAGTAGTTAACAGCTCAATAAAAGTTGAGCTGTAATTACTGCTATTATTATGATTACTGTTGTTATTATTATTATTAACCTCTCTTACCCTCTGGCCAAATGGAATAACTCATATCTAGATATTCTTCTTACATTTCTACTATGCATGTATCTATCTGCTCTATATGTATCTCCAACATTATCTCTGCTTCAAGGTCCAGGAGAATGCCATTTCATGCAAGAAGTCTTTCCTGACACCTACTCCTAATAATAAGTTCTATGGTGGCAGAACCCACATCAGACAAAAACTCCTGTGTTCATTATTCCATTGAGCATAGTCTCTTAGAACACAGTAGGTTCTAATGAACAGTGCCTTGATAATTTAAGTAATTCATGTACATATTCATATCCACATTTACAGTCAGTCTTCTAGAATCAAACATGGCATATTCCTGAAATGTAAAAGTTAAACACTAGCTTTATATGTCATAAAGCTAGTTGTGGGAATGAGGCGATGAAGACTGTATTCCCCAAAAACAAGATGAAAAAACTAAAATTCTCTAAGACACCATGCTTTCAAAATGTTGTAGGAGTTCAGATTATAGTTCATTAAATATTCCCTCCTCTACTATGGGCAGAATCTACTTTTACCCATGGATTTGATCTTCACCATGTGACGGGCTATGTCCAAAAAGGTCATTTATGAAAATGACATTGCTTGTGCCACTTGACTCGGCTATCAAATCCAGTTATCTGCCACAAGAGGGGTATGCCTCAAGTAGCTGCTATCCCTTCTGCCTGGGCCCCAGAACACATGCGGAGCAGACCAAAACCAAGTGCAGCGGACGGACAGCAGAACTACCCCAGGAGCGCAGCCTAGATCAGTCAAATCACAGTCAACCTAAAAACTCAGGAGTGTGAGAATTAATACCTGTTGCTATAGTCAAGAAGTTTTGATACACAGCAAAAGTTGACTAATGTAACTTTTATCAATTGATGTATTTCAGCATTTCTTACATATTAATTCACTTTGTTCCTTTTCTTCACACAAGAAAGAAGAAACTGAAGAATCTCTGCCTTTGGTACACCCAGTGATGTCTACCTTTGGATCAATTATCATTAATACCAGTGCTTTTCTATTTTCCATTTGTTCTGTTTTTCTAAAATAAGGAAAGTCACAATAAAGTATCAAGGAATAATTGCTGAAACTAAACCACTGGCTGGCAAATAGGTCTCCAGTATAACAGCCAAAATGTTAACTTCTTTTTTTTTTAAAGATTTTATTTATTTATTAGAGAGAGAGAGAGAGTGCGCACAAGCAGGAGGAATGGCAGGCAGAGGGAGAAGCAGGCTCCCCACAGAGCAAGGAGCCCAATGCAGGACTCAATCCCAGGACCCCAGGACCATGACCTGAGCCGAAGGCAGACGCTTAACTGACTGAGCCACCCAGGTGTCCCCAAAATGTTAACTTCTTAGACGATAAAAGGGTTTATAAAGGGTGTCCCTAGTAAAACAAACAAAAATGTAGATTATACAAAGTTAACCTCACCAAAGTCAAAGACTATCTGTTGAGGTGAATTTATGGATTCCAACACCATTCATTTAAACTAATATTCGAGGGTATCTATGTGGGCAAACCATGACCACTGAGTTTCACCAAAGGGAAGACACTGATAAGGCTGAAGTCTTGTAGCCTTTCCAACATAATAAAACAAGAGGGCCATACTATTTCAAGAGAATGATTTTAAATACAATTATATTTAATTGCTAAGAGAAAAAGAGTCTTTGTAAGTGAAAGAGAAAATAAAATTCTAATCCTTTAGCAAAAGAAAAAAAAAGCCAACCAAATGGTAAGAGCATGTATTCAACCAATACCTATTCAGAACTCCAACTGGAAATTTAAGGTATCAGTAAAAATAGAAGAGTGTGGATTTTGTTTTGTTTTACCTTCTTTTAAATAATCATCATTATATTTGGAACCAAATTTCCACTGGGCCAAAGCTGGCTTACTAGAAATATATAATACACAAAGTTACTAAATTTGTCTATTGGTGAAATGATGGCCTTCAGAAAGACAAAGCACACAGTGCAAAGGCCATTAACATCGCAGTGGATTGGAAACAGAATAGCACCTATCTATGCTGGGAGAGTCCATACTTCAGAACGGACACATATAGATGGCACAACCATATTTGAATTCAAGGTCACAGGCTCTGGGTCAGAGAAACCTGGACTCAAGTGCTCACTCTTACCCTAAACTGCAGCAAGATACATAATCCCTTTTAGTTTCCTTATCTATAATTTGGGGGTAATAATAACCCCTACCTCATAGGAGCTCTGAAAGTTTTTAAAAAGATAATGTATGTAAAATATCCACAAAGGGCTAGCATTTACAATAGCAATAATAATAGTAATAGTAATAATACTACCTTGACAAACCTGGCTCGCACATGAAAAATCCTAATCAGTGTACTCTGGCTCATAATCTGTTCACGAAACACTGAATGCACAGCTTTATATTCACATTCAGATACAGCTTCTATAAGGTAACAGGATCAACCAGTAATTTCTCTACTGAATTCAGGGAGAAGGGCACTGAAAAAAATAAGCCTTTCATTTATAGAGCACTGAGGAGGAGCTGGTCCTGCTGCCCACACTCCATCCACCCAAGAAAGTCTTGCTGATGAAACCATGCTTCCATCACCATCCACACACCGCCCTCCCAAACTGTGCAGGGCTTTTATTAAAGCACAGAAGCAGACAGACAAGATGGCTCACCTTAGAGGCAAACTCACCTTAAAGGCAAACTCTTCTACCCTCCGGAAAGGATCTGGCTCGACCCCACTGCCACATCCAAACTGACAGCCAAACTGTAAGTGAAGAAGGCAAGCCCTCACTTCCAGAAGTTGAGTTACACTGTCAAAAACTAAAGGCACCTCTTCTATTCGTGGTAATCCTAATAAAGCATGCTTGTCTGCTTCAAAAATATCTTATAAACCCATTAACAGAGCCAATTACAACTGCATACTGAGAAAACAATGTGACTTTACAAGGACAAGAGTGACCATAGGAGACAAAGTGCCACACCCTTTTTCCAGATAGCTCATCAGTAAACGGTGTCTCTTATAAAGGAGCCTGAAATTCTAGAGAAAGAGGTGGACAATTCTAACCCCCAACACACACCCCTATCATTGCATTTTTTACACAGATCCATTTCATTTTCATTTTAAGCCAATGGCCTGAGCATCCCCAACTACTACAACTAGTGAGAGGAGAAGGAGAAGAGAAGAAACAAACACAAGTCAAGCATACTTGGTTCTAAGCGCATTTACGAAGAGTTTTCTTCCCGCTTGTCTCCCTCTCACAGCTGGAGCCTCATACCTTGGGGAAACCAATGGTTAAGTAAAACCACTGATTTAAAAAGCCAACCAGGAAACTAACCATGACAAGTGGGAGCTGCCCTTCTCTCCCGAGCGTTGATTGGTTCTTGAGGTTTTACCGGTCACCGTTCTGCCCACATAAGTGGCAGGTGTGACTGTCAATCACAGAGGGACCTGACAATTCACCACTCCGGGAGTAAATTGCCTTTCATCCAGCAAAGGCAGGTAGCCGCCTAAAATCGATCCGTTCCTAACAGAGCAGACCCTCCCTCTCTGGCAAAGAGAAGAGAGACCCTTAAGTACAAAATAAATAAGGCCGGGACGATCCGAGAGTTTATGAGCGCTGTTTTATTATCCCGCACCAAAGCAGCCCTTAATCTTCACTGTCCTAAGATGATCTTTCAAAGGCTCGGACGAAAATTTTTTAAAAATGAAAATTAAAAATTAGGTACAACCTTCTAAGTACCCCTTTTATTGTAAAATTCGGAGATGGGGAGGGGGAGGCAAGGAATGTCGTTCAGTTTAATTTCACATCGTATTCGTTTTTATACACCACCACCCTCTACCCCTCCCCAATAAAGCCAGCTTCATTTTCCCTGACACGATTTATTTTTTCTTAATACCTTCCCCGCGGAGCCCACCGAGGCATCCAGGCACCCCACCCCCCTGGGCTGGGGCTCCACCTTTCAACACTTTGTTCTGCTTGGGGTTCCCCGAGACCCTTGCCCCTGAGAACACCCCACCCCTCGAGGCAAGAGGGGAAAAGCCAGGAGAAAGAGGGGGGAGCTGGAGAGAAGAAAGGCGATGGCAGTGAGGGTGGCTGCCGGAGAGGGACTGCGGGAGGTGGCCCGGGCCGCCGGGGCGAGCGAGCGGCGCCAGCGCGCCAGAGCAAGCCGTGCACTTGTTCCAATCCGGGGGCTTCTACATCAAGGCAAATCCGCCCTTAGGCCGCCCCATCCTTTCCCCCGCCCCAGAAAGCCCCGGTGGAGGCGGATGGTTCACCCCTCGGCTCCCCGCGATAACGCATTGCAGCTCCCCACGAGTGAGGGGGACCCGGCACGAGGGGTGCCCGGCACCGGCGCCCCGAGGGAGCCGGGCGACCAGCGGCCCCGGCCCCGGCGTCGACGTCTCACCTTTCCGATGCTCGCCCCGGGGCCGTCCCACATGGATTTTTACAACCTCACGTCGCCCTGGCCCCGGGCGGCCGGGAGGAGCCGGAGCCGGCGCCGGCGCCGGAGCCCGAGCGAGCAGGAGCCGGAGGAGGAGGAGGTGGAGCGGGGCTGGGAGGGAGGGCACGGCTCCGAGGGCCGGGGCCGGGCGCGGGGCCGGGCGGGGCTGACGGCCGAGGGGGCGGCACCCGCCGCAGTCCCGAGACGCGCGCTCGCGCGGCGCTGCCAGGGCTGCGCTCCGCCGGGCCCCCCGCCCGGCCGCTCCGCGCGCTCGCCTGCTCGCCGCGGCCTGACTCACATTCCCAGCATTCCCGAGGAGCCGCTGGGGGGGCCGGGGCTGGGACGCGGGCGCCTCCGCGGGGGGCAGCAGAGAGCGCCTGACCCCGGGTGACGGGGGTCTTCGAAGCGCCACCTCCCAGGCAGCCGCCTTCTCGAAGCACCTGGCCCTCATCTCCTCTCCCCGACGCCCCTTCTCGGGTACCCCCTCCAAAGGCTGCCAGGCACTCCTGGGACTGGTCAGGTGGCTTCGGCGACAGGGACAGGGATGGTACTTGGTAGACGGGATGCAACTGTCTTTTAAGTTAAGCTTGGGGGGGGGGGTGTCCAAGGTTCCCATACCCTGGCACCCTCCTATTAGCTTAATCTTCTTTAGGAGAGTGAAGGGATTTCATAAGATTTTCACTTTCTTGCTCCCCTAAGGGAAAGAGAGAATGGAAGATGAAAAAGGGAGCAAGGAAAAAGAAACTATCAACATCATAGTTGCCATTCACTGAATGCCTTCTCTGTGCCCTGCAATGTGCGTGCATCGTCCCACTTACGGTAGAAAGATGGTGTCTGAGTTAATTACACACACACATACACACCTCAAGATAATGTGCAGCAGGAGTTGGACACGTTTTTCATTGGAAAAAGCTTCCACCCAACAAGTCTGGAGCACCAGCCACTACCGTTTTATATTAGGGATGGGACTCCAAACCTCACTGGAATCTCCAGATTTGGTCTCTCACTGAGTAGTCAATTTGCAAGACTAGAGCAGTGATTTCCTTCCTGTCCTGATGAGTCTGCTGCCGGCAATTGCAGTGGCCAAATCTAAATGTCTCCTCCTGGGAAGCTCCAACAAATGAAGCTAAATCCAGCCATGGGATGTCTGGATGAGCAGAGGTATGGAATCAGCACAATGACTAGGGATGACTCCTTCCTTCCTCCCATGATGGGAATTGAAATATTTAATGAAGGAAGTAGACTCTACTCAAATGCCCTGTTCCTTAAGCCTTCCTTTTACACCTCTAGTGTTCATAGTTTTTCACAGACTCATGGCCCCTGAGGCCCCTTTGCCCTTACCCTCTTCTTTCTCTCAGTCACCAAGAAATCAGCACTCATTCTGTCGACCTGAATGCTCCAGGGTAAAACCAAGCAACACCTGTTGTGTTTAGTTTTCTGTATACCGCCTTGATAGCCTTTACTAGTTAGGTAGATGATAGATAGATAGATAGATAGATAGATAGATAGATAGATAGATAGATAGATGATAGATAGATGATAGATAGATAGATGTACCTTGTTGAGAGTGCTTTGAGAAGTCCTAAAATCCCTTATCTTTTGAAATGTGACCAATGTTTATTGACTACCCCCTATGTGCACCACTTACATTTTTTCCACTACTCTCAAAAAAGCTCTTTAGGATATTTACTATCTTTCAGAAAAGTCAGATAACATATCCAGCTGAGAATGTATTTAAATCTATGCCTAAAGCTCACTATTCTTGGCTACCCATTCTCTTTTCCTTTGATCCATGGATTCTAAACAACAATCATTGAACTTCATTGGGACAAGTTCTTGTTTATATGCCTATGTACATTTTACCCCCAGAAAGAAGATCTATGGTTCTCAACAGATTTCTTTTGCATTGGGTCCTTGAAAAAGTTAAGAATAATCACTTTAAACAGAAAGCAACTTTATGTAGTAAAACAAGGACTGGAAGTTTTAGGGATCTTAAGTCATCTTTATCTTCTCGGGGACTTAGTTTTCTCATCTGAAAAATTAAAAAGCTGACCTAAAGGATCTTAAGGTACACTGCAGTAAGGGAGACAGACAAGAAAACAGGCCATTACAATATCGGTTATGAAGGAACAATGCTCTGGGTAGTGTAACAGCATGTAGGAAGGACAGCCAACCTTTTCCCTGGGGTTCAGAAATGGATTCCCAAGGAAAATGTCATCAAATTTGCTTGCTACATCCACCCTTCCTGTCCCACCCTGTGCTCAGCCCAGAGCAGCAGCCTGCATAACTCTGTGAAGCCAACCATAGGAGATTGAATCTTTGGAGAACATCTGCCCCTGGGTGGGCTGTCACAAGATCTCCCCACAGTATTTGAAACTGGGCCATTGGAATGAGTCAGCCAGTGGGTACTGAGTGGTGAGCTTGTAGCCCAAATCAGAACTAGGGCACCCAAAACCATGGTACCAAAGTCACTGAGAAATGAGCTCTAAGACCTTTGCTGGTCGACAGAAAGGAGAATAGTCAGGGCGCCTGGGTGGCTCAGTTGGTTAAGCGACTGCCTTCGGCTCAGGTCATGATCCTGGAGTCCCTGGATTGAGTCCCGCATCGGGCTCCCTGCTTGGCAGGGAGTCTGCTTCTCCCTCTGACCCTCCCCCCTCTTATGTGCTCTCTCTCATTCTCTCTCACACAAATAAATAAATAAAATCTTTAAAAAAAAAAAAAAGAAAGAAAGGAGAATAGTCAGCCAAATAGACAGAAACTGAGATTCCTAAAGGTCTAAAAGATTTGAATATCTAACTGCTTACTTGATAACAACAATGTGGGTATCTAACTGGCATCTCAAACTTGATTAGTTCTAAACAGGACTCTGGATTTTTATGTACCACATTTTTTCTTTCCCAAGGTCACCCATCAGATTAATGATACCACCCTTTATCCAGTTGCTCAGGTACAAACCTAGAAGCATCTCTGATTCCCCCTTTTGCTTATACCCCGCCTCTACCCCATCAGCCAGTTTTATCAGCTCTGCCCAGGGCCATATTGGAGCCTGAAACAAAAAGAAAACTGTGTACTCCTATATATATATATATATATATATATATGCTTTTTTTTGAACCAAGTAGAAAAATTAACAAAATCTCCACAGTGAAAAAACACAACTGTATCTAAAGCCCCATGTTGCCCAATATGTTCAGTCACTACTGCCAACCCTCTTAAAACTAGCCAGTAGGTAGACATGATGGCCAAGTGGCCCAGGAACTGAGCACTGGTTAGAAATGATTGTTCTTGTTGCACAATGATACAGAGTCATAAAACACAGAAACAACAACCTCTCTCTCTTTTACACATATACACAACCAGGAAGATGCAGGACTGAGATTCAAATCTATGTGTTGGTTCACAAACTGGCCCCCTTACATGGAGGGCAAGGAGAGACCAAAGAAAGAGGCAGACCATTCCAGATTGGTAGGTGTCAGGTTTAATAAGAAAGGGACCTTACATACAAGGCTAATCTCCAGTGATTCCAAGATGAGTAGATCTTTGCACCTGCCCATCAGAATCTTAAAAGTTTATATAGAGGCCCTAACAGCATTCAGTCATGTATACTGTCCAGATGATCTCAACAACACCTTACTCTCTCAAGGCTACGTCCTTAAAACGGGCCCCACTGTGGGAACGGTGAGCAGAGTATACATTCTAAGGACTGCAGAGTGGATGAGGAGCTTCAGATTACCCAGTTCCAGCTCATGGTCAACTGGTGAACACATTCTCTCAATTACTTCTTCCAACACAAGGCAGTCTGGCTCCAGAATCGACACGGCAAAATCAATTGGACTTGGTGATTGCTTGGATATGGGACAAGAGGGAGGAGCCAAGAATCCTCCCAGGAGTCTGGTTCAGGCAACTGGATAATGTGTCATTCACTTAGACTGGAAATAAAGGTGGAGGTGGGTGATACAGGTTTATAGAAAATTTATGAATAATTTATGGGTTCATTTGGAGCTTTTTGAGTTTGTAATGCCAGGGACCTCAAGGTGGAAATATCCAGAAAGTGACTATCTCAGTGTGCTTTGAAGTCAGATGAGAGATTATGAAGACAGTGTGTGGAAGTCATCATGTTTGGTAATTAGAGCCATGGGCATGGATGAGTAACCCAGGACAGTAATTAGCCATGAGAAGAATTTAGTTAGATGAGAAACCAAATCCCAAACAACTCACAATTATCTGTCCTTAGGCATGGGGTCATTTGTACATGTCTCTTAACAAGGTAAGTTTAATTCAAGAGAAACATCATTGGGCTGCCATAAAAGAAAAAAGACCCAATTAACTGACCCACTAGCACCACCACCACCACAGTTAATTGGATCAGAAATAATCACCTGACCCTTAGGAAGCCAACCTATTGGCTTAACTAAGCCAATCTAAGCCAATTCTCTTTGCCAGGAATGTTTTAAGGCCTTTGTAACCCTAAGCATCATAGCAAGCATATCAAAATCCAGCACCATCAAAATATTTCTTCCCTGTGGAAATTTTTGAAAGTTTTTTTAGCTTTGCTTTTACAATTATTTGGCTAATTTATTACATTTCACTGTGGCTATGATTGGTCCATAATCATAGAACATAAGAATTATTGTGAAATGAGAAGAAAATCTAACCTACAATTATTTTCAAATGGAATGAAATGTTTATAAATATGAAAAACCATAAAGTTATGTTTTATACACATTTATAAACATTTATTAATTCCCCATTTACAGTTTTCTGTAAGTCTGTAATCTCAAGGTATGCAAGTCTTTCAGGGGCTTGCAAAAATGTTGGTTAAATGTCTATATAATGTAAAATTACATCAATTGCTTTAGTTCCTTGGCTTCCAATAACTTTCCATTTCCCCAATTCTGGCCACTCATGATTCTGGCCACCCTTGTTGTCCTTGGGTTCCACAAGATGCCTCTGTATCCTTCCAGTAGATACATACCGTTCTTTTTTCTGCCTCAGGTAGCTTGAGCAATTTTCTCTTCCTTGCAGCCATAATTACTCCCTGCATTGGAAAGCCAGCTTCCTTATGCTTAGACAAAGCCCTTCATTACAGTCCA